GTCCGTATCCTTCAGTACCAGTCTGTACCTGTACCTGTACCTGTACCTGTATCTGTACCTGTATCTGTATCTGTACCTGTCTGTATCTGTATCTGTCTGTACCTGTATCTGTCTGTACATGTCTGTACCTGTACCTGTCTGTATCTCTACCTGTCTGTACCTGTCTGTACCTGTCTGTACCTGTCTGTACCTGTCTGTACCTGTCTGTACCTGTCTGTTCCTGTATCTGTCTGTATCTGGCTGTATCTGTGTGTATCTGTCTTTACCTGTCTGTATCTGTCTGTACCTGTCTGTACCTGTCTGTACCTGTACCAGTCTGTACCTGTCTGTCTCTGTCTGTCTATCAGTCAGTAGTTTCCTCAGCCTCTGTCAGATGTCTGTATGGTTTTGGAGGTTTTAGGTCATCAGCTGTTAAAATGGATCATTAAGTCAAACTATATGGGACTTCCTCTGGTCTGTGTGAAGACCATCATCAGACAGGTAACACACTATATACACTGTATACACACTGTACACACTGTATATACACTATATACACACACTATATAGATAGATAGATAGACTTTATTAATCCTCAAAGGGAAATTGGGTATACACACTATATACACACTATACACACTATATACACACTGTATATACACTACATAGCCACATTAATGTGTTTTCCATTACAGGTTCAGACAAGTTTGTTATTGCTGATGATTACCCATAAACCCGTCCTGATTTTAAAATAAGAAAATAACCTGGAACATTTATTGTGAAGATTATGTAGGAAATCACATGGTCATCGCGTGAGCAGAGCTTAGTTAGCAACTTTTCTTTAATAAATTTAACTGCATCCTGCAGGAGGGTGGTGTTTATTTGAGCTTTAGAACGTTACCGCCAATTAGAAAATAACCAGCAGGTTGTCCAGTTGTTAATATCACTGATATTATTGTTATTATTATTATTACTATTATTATTACTACAGTTACTATTATTACTATAATCACTGCTCATTGTCCATGATCGTTGTTGTCGTCGTCGTCATCATCAGTCACTACTATAAGTGTAGTTGTTGCTACTGTTGTTGCTGTGCACCTCTGTCTGTCTGTCTGTCTCTCTCTCTCTATTTCTCTCTCTCTCTCTCCCACCCACCTAGAGCCAAAGGGTAGGTTTCTGCCTCTTTTAAAGGCAGTTTTCCTGCCACTGTCTCCAAGGTCTTGCTCTGATGGTGGTACCTTGGGGTTGGGGTCTCTTAGTAAATGTTAAAAGGAGTGTCGGTCTAGACCTGCTCTATTTGAAAGTGTCTGAGATAACTTCTGTTTTTGAATTGAATAAAATTGAATTGAATTGTCATGGAAACCTTTGCCACGCTGGGCTGGTGAGTAAAACTGAGTTAAGGCAGCATTTAAATTAAAAAAAAACGCTAGTGGTGCCTTGAGCTCCTATTCTGTTAGCAGCAGTTAGCTAACAACTACAAGTAAACGTCATCAATGAAATCATTTTTTTTTTTTTAAGTAGTTTTTGGGCCTTTTATTGCCTTTATGATAGTGACAGCTGAAGA